TCTGCTCTGCAGTCTCAATGGCAATGTGAGTGTTACTGGGAAGGTGGAGGGATGTGATAATGGTTTTGTATATAATTGTTAGTATTTAATTATTTTCCTTCTCATCATTACTGTTTCATTGAAGCTGTGTAGTTCAGTTTAGTTTCCAACCTGTCAGTCTCTCACCCTTATTCTCCCTCCTTTCCCTGTAGGGGAGGGGTGAGGGGTTAATAGAGTTAATGGCTGGCTCAGCTTTAAACTATAACACTTTGAAAAAACAACTCAGGAATTTTTTTTATATATATATTTTTTTTTTTTTTTTTTCCCAAATGGTTACGCAACACTGAAGAGGGTTTCCATGTATGGAGCAGCTTTGTACAGTATCTGATTAATAAGAAATATCTCATGAGAAATGGGCCAAGGTGTGGGGGATAAATGTGTTCCTTGATACAGTATTTCTACCATCACCAGATTGTAGGTTGTGGTCTTTCAATACTTAAAGAAGGCCTTATAAGAAAGATGGGGACCAACTTCTTAGCAGGACCTTCAACAATAGGACACGGCATGATGGCTTTAAACTAAAAAGGGCAGATTTAAACTAAATATAAGGAAGACATTTTTTATGATGAGGATAGTGAAACACAGGTACAGGTTTCCCAGAGAAGCGGTAAAAGCACCATCCCTGGAAACATTCAAAACGAGGTTGGACTGGGCTCTGAGCAACCTGATGTAGTTGAAGACGTCCCTGCTTATTGCAAAAAGGTTGGACTAGAAGACCTCTAAAGGTCTCTTCTAACCCAAACCATTCAGTGATTTTATTATTCTAATATTTGGCAAGAAGAGAATAAAACAGAACAATAGAAAAGATTGTGATTGAGTGTTGATCTGCCTCATAGTAGGAAAGCTCTACAGATGGACCTAGACAGGTTGGATCAATGGGCTGAGACAACTTGTATTATGAAATGGAAATGTAAAGGACCAGGAGGTGCTGGTCGACAGTGGCTGAATATGAGCCAGTGTGTGCCCAAGTGGCCAACGCCAACTGCATCCTGGCTTGTATCAGCAATACTGTGCCAAGCAGGATTAGGCCAAGGATCACCCCCCTGTGCTCAGCACTGGTGAGGCTGCGCCTCAAATAATGCGATCAGTTTTGGGCCCTTTTGACAGGAAGGACACTGAGGGCCTGCAGCGTGTTCAGAGAAGGCAACAGAGCTGGGGAAGTGGCTGGAGCACAAGTCAGATGAGGAGCAGCTGAGAGACTTGGGGGTGTTCAGCCTGGAGAAGCAGAGGCTCATGGGAGACCTTCTCTCTTTCTACAACTACCTGAAAGGAGGTTGGAGTGAAGGGGAGTTCAGTCTCTTGACCCAGGTAACAAGTGAGAGGATGAAAGAAAATGGCCTCAGGTTGTGCCAGGGGACATTTAGATTGGATATTAGGAAAAAAAATGTTCACTGAAAAGGTTTTCAGGGACTGGAAGAGATTTCCTAGGGCAGTGGTGGAGGCACCATCCCTGTAGCTGTTTAAAAGTGTGTTCATGTGGTGCTGAGGGACATGGTTTAGTCGCAGACTTGGTAGAGTTAGGTGAATTGTTGGACTTGATGATCTTAAAGGTCTTTTCCAACCAAAATCATTTTATGATTCTGTGATTCTATGATTGAGGTAAGGACAGATTGAATTTGCTTATTTTCTGCTTCCCTGTATTTTGGCTGCTCTTTTTTCTCCCTTCTACAAGTATAGCTTTTTGCCTTTCAGCAGCTACATCTTATTTCTCAGTCTCTCCACTTTATAAAGACTTATGCTGGAGATTTCTAATCAGGCTAACATCCGTGATTCTGACAGTCTTTCTAAAATTGTTCCTGGTGACGTGGGTGTCCAGGGAGGAGCAGTGGCAGCACCAACATCCCCACCTTCTCTCCTGAGGCTGCTTCACTAACTGTCTTATAACCAGGCTGGAGAGACACAGAGGTGTTCAGAGAACCATATCCAGGTGTTTTCCAGGGGAATAACGGAGACGAAAACAGGTAACCACTGCTTTCTGCAGCATCACAGACTGAGGAGTATGCTCCTGCCTGTTGGCTTCTGACAGTGGTAAATCCCTTCTAGCATGCCTGGAATTGCTGAGGTAGTGTGGCACCTCAGACATCTCCAGAAGCAGCTGCAGGTATAGCTTAGCTGGGCTCCCTGGAATGGGCTTCCTTCAGCGTCAAGAAATGCTGCCTGTCAGATTATCAGCGTAGGAGAAGCACTCTGGCAGCTTCTGGCAGTGAGCAAAGCTAGTCTGAACTGTGCTCTACCTCTGATCTTGCAAAGCACTGAGATGTCTGAGTGTTAAAAAGCATAGGCTGGATGTTTGAAGACATTTTCAAAGAAGCATTTTCTGCTGGCCTGTATATAACCTGCACATAAATTATTGCTTTGAAAGCTTTAATTTAAAATAAATGTGGGTATCTCAGGTTTTTCAGAAAATAGAAGTATTTAGTTTTTCTGTACATTTATATGAATAAGTAGGTAGATTAGAAGACAGATGAGGAGCAGCTGAGAGACTTGGGGGTGTTCAGCCTGGAGAAGCAGAGGCTCATGGGAGACCTTCTCTCTTTCTACAACTACCTGAAAGGAGGTTGGAGTGAAGGGGAGTTCAGTCTCTTGACCCAGGTAACAAGTGAGAGGATGAAAGAAAATGGCCTCAGGTTGTGCCAGGGGACATTTAGATTGGATATTAGGAAAAAAAATGTTCACTGAAAAGGTTTTCAGGGACTGGAAGAGATTTCCTAGGGCAGTGGTGGAGGCACCATCCCTGTAGCTGTTTAAAAGTGTGTTCATGTGGTGCTGAGGGACATGGTTTAGTCGCAGACTTGGTAGAGTTAGGTGAATTGTTGGACTTGATGATCTTAAAGGTCTTTTCCAACCAAAATCATTTTATGATTCTGTGATTCTATGATTGAGGTAAGGACAGATTGAATTTGCTTATTTTCTGCTTCCCTGTATTTTGGCTGCTCTTTTTTCTCCCTTCTACAAGTATAGCTTTTTGCCTTTCAGCAGCTACATCTTATTTCTCAGTCTCTCCACTTTATAAAGACTTATGCTGGAGATTTCTAATCAGGCTAACATCCGTGATTCTGACAGTCTTTCTAAAATTGTTCCTGGTGACGTGGGTGTCCAGGGAGGAGCAGTGGCAGCACCAACATCCCCACCTTCTCTCCTGAGGCTGCTTCACTAACTGTCTTATAACCAGGCTGGAGAGACACAGAGGTGTTCAGAGAACCATATCCAGGTGTTTTCCAGGGGAATAACGGAGACGAAAACAGGTAACCACTGCTTTCTGCAGCATCACAGACTGAGGAGTATGCTCCTGCCTGTTGGCTTCTGACAGTGGTAAATCCCTTCTAGCATGCCTGGAATTGCTGAGGTAGTGTGGCACCTCAGACATCTCCAGAAGCAGCTGCAGGTATAGCTTAGCTGGGCTCCCTGGAATGGGCTTCCTTCAGCGTCAAGAAATGCTGCCTGTCAGATTATCAGCGTAGGAGAAGCACTCTGGCAGCTTCTGGCAGTGAGCAAAGCTAGTCTGAACTGTGCTCTACCTCTGATCTTGCAAAGCACTGAGATGTCTGAGTGTTAAAAAGCATAGGCTGGATGTTTGAAGACATTTTCAAAGAAGCATTTTCTGCTGGCCTGTATATAACCTGCACATAAATTATTGCTTTGAAAGCTTTAATTTAAAATAAATGTGGGTATCTCAGGTTTTTCAGAAAATAGAAGTATTTAGTTTTTCTGTACATTTATATGAATAAGTAGGTAGATTAGAAGACAATGATGGTGGAAAGACACAGCCAGCATCCTCAGTCTTCTGCCTGGAAGAAGGTATTCCTTCCCTGTGTCAGAATGACTCTTAAACATCTGCCAGCTGAAATTTCTTCTTCCTAAGAATATACCTGGTATTGTGGTGCTGCTTGCTTGTAGCTCCCATCCTTCAAGCATGCCCAGTCATTATGCACAGGGAAGGCTCTGCTCCCCGGTGAGCGGGCCCTCAGCTGGATTTGTAAGTAACAGAGCAGGAAGCTTGGGAATGCTGAATTATTCTGGACCCACTCAGAAGTTATAAAAGCCTGACCTGTTCAGGAAAATGGGGTGTTGTAAGGCGATCACCCGCTTTTAATCCCTTTCTTCTCTCAATGACTCTAAACTGCATGAAGCAGTTTGCTTGCATGAAAATGGCTTTTAGCACCCAGGAAACTTGAGATTTCTGCATCAGCTGTGGCTTATCTGCCGTGTTAGATGCCCCATGGCTGCGTAATTGTCACTGGATTCACTGACAGATAAAATTTCCTTTAACTTCTGGTGAGATTCACCCTTCACCATGTAAAAATTAATGATTCAGATCTAAGATAGTCTCCCAGATCTTTGTGTTTGGATACAGAATCCCCTACATGTGGGGAGAGCTGGGATTATACTCTCTCCCTAAGGTCCAAGAATCTCCTCATGCCTTGCCTTGCTTTATTTTGATTGCCTCTCCTTGCCTAGCTTTGCCTTGTTTTCTCCTCCCCTTTTTAATCCCTTCCCTCCTTCTCCCCCTGTTTCTTCTTAATGTTCTTACACTAAGTGCAGCTCTTACAAGATCAGCACAAGGAGTGTAAGCAGGACTGTTCTTAAAGGGATTAGGATTTAACAATTTTATTTCTTTTTTTCTCACCTATCAATGGATATTCAATTTAATAAAATCTTCTGTAAAAAACCCTAAACAAGTCAAATGCTGTAACCCAGATGACCAAACCCAGTCGTTCAGGCTCAAGGATTCTGATGACTCTGTTCTTTCCTCCCTCTGCAAACCTGCAAACCCTGAAGCAAGCAACATATGTTAGATTTCCAAACATTCATGCATATCTTGGTCAACCTTGCCTAATCCTGCAATCATGTCTATGCTGATGCTTGTCTAACCTTTCTCTAGGCTTGACGTATATGCAACAGCGGACAGGCCATCAGCATTCTCTAAGAGCCTGTTGCTGGGACTGTTCTGTGTAGGGCAAATGCCCCAAAGAAAAGGTTTGGACAATCACACCACTGGACCTGGATTCATTCTTCTGGGATTTTCTGATCACTCCAGCCTGCAGGGCCTGCGCTTCACAGTCTTCCTGGTCATCTACCTGGTAATCATCACAGGAAACAGTCTGATTGTACTCATCACAGTGGTGGACTCAAGCCTCTACACCCCTATGCATTTCTTCCTGAGGAACCTGTCCTTTCTGGAGATCTGCTACACGTCAGTCACTCTGCCAAAAATGCTGGTGGGTTTCCTAATGGAAGATGGCAGGATCTCCTTCCTTGGCTGTGCTGCCCAGCTCTATTTCCTGGTTTTATTGGGCAGCATTGAATGTCTTCTCCTGGCTGCCATGGCCTATGACCGCTACACAGCCATCTGTGACCCCCTGCACTATACCCTCATCATGAGCAGGGGTCTCTGCATCAGCCTGGTTGTGGGGTCATGGATGGCTGTCATACCAATGCAAGTAGGACAGACCTACCAGCTGTTCACTTTGCCCTTCTGTGCATCCCATGACCTTCACCACTTCTTCTGTGATGTGCCCCCTCTCCTAGAACTGGCCTGTGCAGACACTTTCTGGAACCAAGTGACGCTGTACAGCATCATTCTGGTATTTGCAGTTCTTCCCTTCTCCTTAATTGTTATTTCTTACATTAAGATTATCAGGGCAATTCTCAAAATACCTTCCGTCCTGGGCAGACACAAAGCCTTTTCCACCTGCTCTTCACACCTCGGGGTGGT